ATCTTCTCTATTTCTATATCTCTCATGTCCATTAATTCTTTCTCGAGGGACACACTAGCTTTTCTCTTGCCCTCTCTGCCTTCATCATATTCATCGTCATCATCTCTTTTCCGTATTCCTGCTCTCACACACTCTTTCCTCAAGTCATTTGCCTCTCCATCAGCCATTTCAAACTGCTTTCAAAGTTTATATTAAACAAAATAAAAGAGAATGCGAGAATTCAGCAATTCGCGATCTCCGAGCGCGCCCAGCAAAGCCAGTAGCGTAAGATCCTCCTACAACGGCGCACAGCGCCACACTGAAGTCGGTGTCCCCTCACACCCGCGCACGCGCGTCGGTGCCCGCGGCCGCCATTATAACTCCGCGAAAAGAAAATAAACAAAACAATTATCGAAAGGTGTCAGATGTACCTTAATCACAATAGTAATATGATCTGGAAGTCCTACCTTCTTAAACAAGGATGATTTGCTCCCTCTCTGTCTAGGGGAAGGTCCCACGAGCTCCTTCCAAAGATCGCCGTCTCTTGCTCTTTATCTCGGCTCTCAAGGCTCTGTGCGGCTCTAATTTCTGTGCGATCGCGAGGAATGAGTGAGCTTCTCCTGAAGATGTTAATCTCATCTTCCTTACCCTGGCTAGCAGGGTCTCGTAAGGTTTGTGGGTCTTTGTAAACGCGCAGAGTCGACCGGTCTCCACGTGTAGGGCACGGCGCTGCTTGGCCTGTGCCCCCATCCGAGGCTTTGTCTTCTTTTGACATTACCATTTTTGGAGGCTATATGGGGCCTACCATTCCCCCCGTTTTGACTGCCGGCAGTTACGAGGTGATTACATCGGAATAACCAGAGCCTCGCCGACCCCTACATTTCTTCAGGGCGTAGCTATCCCGAGCGACGAACACATTGACATAAACAGACATTGAAACATTAATAACATCGGGGACAAGGTTATCTCTATTTTCCTTCTCTTTCTGAATTTCTCGTGTTCTCCAAAGTTCTCCCCTGTATGCCCTTCTTGTACCTTTTCTTCGTGTTTCCAGGGTATTATATTCCATTCTCCGATAAGGATGGATCACAAAACAAAAACAAAGAAATCCACATCAATTTAAGAAGACTTTAACTGGTCAAACGTACCCGGTCGAGGGGGGTCTAGGTGCCCCCCTCCGTCTTGTTGATCCGCTCTCGTCCCAGTCGAGGGGGCTTAGATGCCCCCTTTCTCCTTGTTGGTCCATCCTTCTTTTGGGTCGGGGCCAAGAAAAATAAATCATATCATTTTTAGAAAGCTTTCACTTACCAAACATACCCGGTCGAGGGGGCCTAAGTGCCCCCTTTCTTCTTGTCGATCCGTCCTCGTTTCGGTTCTCCTCCTTGTACTCTCCTCCTTCACCTGTANTGGACATACGAATCCATTAATTTTCTGAATTGTTGTTTTTTTAATTCATACCTGGATGAGAGGGCGGAAGCCCCCTCATTTATTCCTCTTCTTCCTCTCGTCCACGGTTCTATGGAATCGTCCCTCATTTCCTCCAACGTACATGTGGACATAGGAATTTATAAATTTTTTGAATTATTCACTTTTTTATTCGTACCTGGATGAGAGGGCGGGTGCCCTCTCAATTGTTCGTCATCTTCTTCTCATCCATCATGTTTCAACTCTTTGGTCTTCTCTTCCATCTCGTGGTCCGGCATTCATGTGGACATAAGAATCTATTAATTTTTTGACTTTCTTTGTTTCTATTTCATACCCGAATGAGGGAGCGGATGCCCCCTCACTGTTGTTCCTCTTCCCATGTCTTTTCAACTTACTCTTCCAGGCTGAATTTTGCTTCCTCCCGCGGGTGAATTTCAATCATACCTGGATTGGGGGAGACAAAAGCTGCCTCCTCCGCTCCTCTTCTTAGTTCTTCTTCCTTTCTTCTTCTCTACTCCATCTCTTTTATCTTCATCACCTCTCTTAAGTAATTCATTATGCTATCACGCTGCTTTTCGTTGCTCATGAGAAGGTCGGCTACGTTTTCTTGCTTAACGGGTTCTCCCACTTGTATATCCATTTCCATCCTTTCCTTTTCGAAGCGACAACATTCAAATATTGTGTGTCGAGGTGTATCCGTCTCTTGACATCCGAACCAACAGTTGTCTGACTCAATCTTCTTTATCTTCGCCAAGTATGCTGCGTACACGCCATGCCCTGTTATTGCTTGGGTGGTATAATAATCTACACGAGGCCCTTTGCTTTGCCATTCTCTTACATTCTTTATAAAAGTCTTTGCCCATCCCTCATAATGGTTCCATCTCTCTTGCCACTTTTTATACATGTCTTCTCTGTTCTGTTCTACTTTTTCTCCCCTTGTCTCCCAATTTCTACTTCTTTCCCAGGCCAGTAAATCCATAGGTGCGTGTCCGGCCAATGTACCTACAGCTTCCGTCGCTACCGTGCGATATGCCGATGTTACGCTTATTACCATTTTTCTTTCAATTATTCTCAACATTTTAGCATATTTCTTGTACTTAAGAGCACTTTCCCAAGCTGAGGCTCCGTAGAGAGTGACCGATGTTATAACTGTCGCTAATAGTTTTCTGCGAGCATAGCTTGGACCTCCTTTTCTAGGCATCAAACGCGTTAGGTTATTATACATTTTTCCGGCTTTCTCTGAGACTTTTTTGATATGAGCCGTCATGCGTAGATCCTTGTCTAAATGGACTCCTAAGTACTTTACCGATTCTGAGCTTTTAATGATTTGTTGGCCTACTCTAAGCTGTATTGTTTTCAGCTTTCTTCTTCCTTCCAAAATCACTATCTCGGTCTTCTCTTCTGCTAGTTGTATACCCAGTTCTCTCATATTCTCCGCCACCCTCCGTAAGCAGTATTCAGCTTTATCTCTCATCGCCTCTTCAGATTTCGCTCTCACCACTACTGCCAAATCATCTGCGTAGGCTACCAGCAAGACTCCTTCTTCCACCTTGCTTTCCACCACCTGGTCGTAGAAAATGTTCCAGAGTGTTCCTCCTAAGACTGACCCCTGCGGGACTCCGCACGTCATTACCTCCTCTCTCCCCCCTGGCAGAACTATCCGTCTATCCGATAAATAAGATCTTATTATCTTTCTAATTTGCATTGAGAAACCTTTCTTCTCAAATGCTCTGTTTATCTGAGCCCAAGGTGCAGAGTTGAACGCATTTTTGATGTCTAAAAGGATCATTATACAAAGTCCTCTGTTTTGCAAGGATACTCTTTTCATTTCTGTTACGCTTTTGATAATTGACATTATCGCGTCGACCGTGCCCTTCCCTTTCCTGTAGCCAAATTGCTTTTCGCTCAGTAGGTTTTTCTCGTTTATTTCGGCTGATATCCTTTCGTTAATTAGTTTCTCCAGTATCTTTCCTACCGCACTAAGGAGACAGAGGGGTCTGTAAGACTGTTCAGTTTCTTGTTTTCTTGGCTTCTCTATCAGCACTAAGGTTGCCCTTTTCCATATTTTTGGGAATATCCCTTTTTTCCAACACTCATTGTACGTATTTAAAAATATCGTGGGGTTGGCTCTCGCGCAGATCTTGATAACTTCGTTTATTATGCCGTCTTCTCCGGCTGCTTTTTTTGTCTTAAGTTGGCTCAGACTGTTATTAAGTTCTTCTATGGTGAACATTTCTGGTTGTTGATCTCCGCTTTGATCGTTATCTTTCTCTTTGTAGTTCTCTCGTAATACTGGAAATAACTTTTTGAACTGTTTTACAACTGTTTCCTCATCTAACTTCTCTCTCACTCTCATTCGCATTCGTTTCGTTACAATCTGATACGCCGTTCCCCATATATTGTTTTCTAATTCATCACATAAACTCTTCCACTTGCTCTCTTTATTATTCTTTATTACCCTTGTCAGCTCCTTTCTTGCGAGTCTATACTCTTCTCTCGCCTTCCCCTCCTCCTCCCCTCCGGGATGCTTTCGTCTGATTCTTTGCATCGTTCTTCTTCTGGCTATGCAGTTCGCTCTTGCCTGGGCCACTTGGTCATTCCACCAGTAGACAGGTTCTTTTGGTTTTCTTCCACAGTATTTTCTTTTAAAAACTTTATCGCACGCTTGAGTGATTTCTTTCGATAATCGTATTGGATCGGATGTTAATATCGTTTTTGTTTTCTCGTAAAAGGTCTTCTCTAGTTTTTTTAATCCTTCTTCGGTAATTTTCCATTTTCGAGGCTCCATTTCTTTTTGATCTTCTTTCTCAATACTATCAATGGTAAAAACAATAGGAGTATGGTCGCTCAAGGTCTCTATTTCCTCCTCGACTTTCCATTCCGTTATTTTTTTTAACATTTTTTCGTTTACTAGAGTCAGGTCGATTATTGATGACCCATTATGTCCGTTATAGGTTGGTGTTGACCCGTCGTTTAGTAGTACCATCCTGGTTTTCGCTATCCATTCCTCCAGAAGGCATCCTCTCTTGTTGTTCATTTTATCTCCTGCCATACACATTCTCGCATTAAAATCTCCTGCAACGATTACAGGTTTCTTCGCTAATCTAACATTTGCTTCTAAATCATCTAAAAGTTCTTCGAAGTTTTCATCCAAATCATTCGGTGAGAAGTACACTGATATAACTGTCCATTTTTTCATCTCAATCATTATATATCCTTTGGCTTTCCGCCAGGCAAGCGGTCTTCCCAGTCCCCCTCTCATCTGTATAAAACATCCATTCTGTTCATCCGTCTGCAGTTGTTTTGCCTTTCTTATATTTGGTTCTTGACCTATTATTATATCTACCTCATTTTGTCTCAACATTGCTTCAAGGATAGCATGGACATCCCATCTTCTATTGCAGTTTAACTGCATTACTTTAATTTTTGTTGTGTGGATCATTTTGTTTTTTTTTTGAGGTATTTGTTCCTTTCTGGACTGCTCTCCTCGCACGTATTTTTTATACTTTGATGTTTTGTTTTCTGTTTGTCAGGAGGACTTTCTGGGGTACTTCGGGCAGACTTCTCTTTTCTGTTCAATTTTTTCTTTTTGGTGACTACCATGGACTCTTGGACTCTTCTCCTTTAAATTTCTCTTGACTTCCCGCTTTACTCAATTCTACATTATTTTTCTCCTCAATCCTTCCTACTCTTTCACTTTGCTGCTGTGCGCTTTCCTCCCCCCCTTCCTTTACCTGTCGGTTTCTCTTTACTCGTTTTCCCTCTTTAATCTGAGATCTGTACATCTCACACCCCATACTCGCTGCTCTGTGCCCTTCCTTTTCGCAGTTTGGACATCTAGTTGGGTTCGCGCATTCTTTTGTCAGATGCCCTTCTAATCCGCAGTTGTAACAGCAATTTCTCCTATCCGGTCCTGTACAGTCTCTAATCAGATGTTGTGGTGACCAACATTTCAAGCACTTTTTAATCTGAGCTCTCTCTTCTACGGAGCACATCGCTAACCCTATTCTAATTCTTTTGTTACTCGTCAACTTCTTTGCTTTATCTTCCTCCATCTCTACTGTCACCGCCATCATGCTCTCCGCATATGGTCTTAATGTGCTCATCTTTATATTGTTTTTCTCACAACCCGTATCCCTATTTATTGCCTGTATTATTTCATCCTTCTCTGTTGTTATCATTAGCCCTCTTATATAAATCGTCTTAGTCTGTTTTCTCTCTTTTATTCCTCTATCTGTCACCTTCTGCCCATCCTCATCTCTCAATACTTTCTGTATCTCCATCACGGCCTCTTTATCTTTTTGAGTAGTGATTAAGACTTTTCCGTCCCTTGTGCTTCTTATCCCCTCTATCTTGTTTGCTTCCTTTTTTCCTTGTAACCGTTGTTTTATTCCTCTTATCGTCTCTTCATATGTCTTCCCTGGTCTTTCCACTATAATCGCAAATGTTCTTCTTTCGTTTTGTATGTTTCTGTCTTTTTCTTCTTCTATTTTTGCTTGTGTTGTATATATATCTATTTGTATATCTGTATCTCGAAACACTATCTCTAGCATCTTTCTATACTTGCTCAAAGGCATTTGTCTTAAGTGATGTATTGCAATTTTCGTTTCTCCCTCGTTTCGTTCTTTTAATTCCTGCATCATTTTCCAAACAGAGATGTCCGATTTCTCAATTATTAGTTTTATCACCTTTTCCTTTCTTTCTCTTTCTATCCCTCTTATTTTCGTCTTTGTCGTCAGTTCTACTTCTTCATATCGTTCTTTTAACTCGGCTAGTACTGGGTACGCCCTTTTAAATTGGTTCTGAAGGCTACGAGTCATGTCATCGTCATCAGGTTCTACAACCACCACCCTCGTCTCTATCTCTTGTTGCCAAAGTGGGTTTCCTTCTTTTATTCTGGTTTTTCGGTAATATCTCTCTTTCCAATTTTTTTCAGCTACTATTTTCCACTGTTGAAATGTAGCCGCCTCGTTTATCTCTCGTTCCATCATTATTTCTTGCAACCTCTCCCCTCTCTCCTCTTCCGTTTCTGTCTGGGTGCTCATTTCCTTCACTTCCTTTCCTCTGCTTTTCGCCCTTTTCTCTCCCAACCCTTGTATCCATTCTTTCGTTTCTTTTCTATTAAATATATCTGCCTGCCTTTCCAACTTTTGAATTGCCCCTTTAATTTCCCTCTTTGTATTTTGTTCCTCGTTCCGTTTTAATGTTTTTATCAAATTCATAATATTTTCTATTCCTTTCTTAACTTTTTTCGCTTGTTCGTTGTCTGCGTCTTCTAGCTCCTGTTCTTCATCTGCGGACTCTGTTCTTCTCCTTTTCATACTCGTGCTGTCGAAGGACCAAGTTCTTACTCTTTGTGGAGTTTCACTTTCTAAATCAACCAGACTAGTTGTCGACCACAACTGCTGTTTTCCCTTAATTTGTTCCATAGATGTCATATCTAACGTTTCCATATCCGTTTTTTCCCCCTCGCCACTACCCAGCTCTGGATTTTCGGCATCTTCTAGATATCTAATTGTACTATCAAGATCGGCATCCTCTGATTTGTCCGATTCTTCCTCTCCGTAACCCTCTGGCATCTCTTCGCTGTCACTACTCGATTCTCCACTACTATTGTCTGTAACTTTTTTCGTGTCGACATCGCACACCATTGTCCTACTTTCGTTCGTTTTTTCGTCATCTTGGGTCTGACTATCGACGTAGGGGCGACCTCGCTCCCCTCCGCCCGCTGCGCCAGTCTTCATGGCCGACGCAGCTATCCGAGGCTTTGGATTTTGATCTTCCATTTACCATATTTGCAGCTGTCAGGCGCCTAGCTTACGCCCCGTTTTATTCCTACCGGCAGGTGTACATATACAAACACAAAATTACCCGTGGCCCTCGTGACACCTAGCGAGGGCCTTTCATGGGGAGTACCGTCCGGGTTCACACGGACCCCAGTTTTTTAAGGAGGGATGCTCCTCCTTGGCTTTTGGTCCGCGCCGGGTATTTTATTTCCCCGGTACCCCCCGCGCACGCTAAAGTGCAATGCATGCGCGGTGAGCTTTCCCCTATCCGCCACCTGGGGACGCGTCCGATTGGGGGAGCCACCCCCATCCCCCGGGCTAGGCCCGGGGGCGGAAACCCAACCCAACCCTTTTTTTTTTTTTTTTTACCGAGGTTGGGGAAATCTGCTATCAGACACCCGGCCTAAAGGTCTTGAGCGGCCGGATAGTGTGGGGTTGGAGCTAAATATCTCCGACCCACTAAAACCCCCGTCCTCGTCTTCGTCTCTTCCCTTGTTTTGGCAGTCCGGACCCGCTTACCGCATTACTGCAGACTACCTAAGACGGAAAATTGCTGGTTGGTCTAGCTTGTTCTTTCTTCTTCCCTTCAAGTTTCTCTTGGCTCGGCAACGCAAAGAAAAATTTTCCTATTAGTTTTTAAATAACATTTTCAATACAACTTACACGGTCGGGGGGCGAGGGACGCCCCCTTATCCTCTTCCCTTCCTAGTCGATGAAGTTTCAGCTCCCAGATGATGCAAACCGAACTCTATGTCGGCAAAACGCTCCATCAGAAGGTCCATGAAAAAGAAAACAAAAATTCCTGCTAATTTTTTATAATAATATATATATAATGTCATACCCGAAAAGGGGGCACTTATGCCCCCCTTTTCCTCTTCTTGGCGTACTTATCTTTCTTCTTGTCTTCTCTTTTCCTCCCTTTCCTTTATCATCATTACCGTTCTTAAAAATTTCATTACTTCTTCGCGTTGTTTTTCATCTCTTATGAGAAGGTCAGCTATATTTTTTTCCTCCACCGTCTGTTTTACTTCCGATTCCATTTCCTTTCTCTCTTCTTCGAACCGAGCACACTTGAAAATTGTATGCTGTGGAGTATCTATTTCCTCACACCCAAACCAGCAATAATCTGAATCTATTTTCTTTATCTCCCTAAGGTATGTTGCAAAAATTCCATGTCCGCTGATAGCCTGCGTGGTGTAATAATCTACACGGGGTCCTTTTTCTTTCCATTCTTGGACATTTTTTATAAAAATTTTTGCCCACCCACCATATAAATTCCACCTCTCCTGCCACCTCCGATATAGAGAATTCTTATTTTCTTCCGCCTTTACGCCTTTCTCCTCCCAGTTTCTACTTCGCTCCCACACCAATAAGTCCATAGGAGGGTTTCCCGCCAGCACTCCTACCGCATCTATGGATACCGTTCTATATGCTGCTGTGATACTTATTGATATTTTTCTCTCGATGGATCTTAATAACTTTTTGTACTTCTTATATTTCAGGGCATCCTCCCAGCACGGGGACGCATACAGCACTACCGATCTCACAACGGACCCTAACAATTGTCTTTTTGCTTGACCTGGACCTCCAATTCGTGGCATAATGCGTGAAAGCGTGTTCTGGATCTTTGTGGCTCTTTCTACTACTTTCTTTATGTGAGTAGTCATTCGTAGGTCTTTGTCCATGTGGACACCAAGATACTTTACAGAATCAGTACTTTTTATTGTTTTCCCACCTATTTGTAATTCTATATTTAACATAGATCTTCTACCTTCTAACACGACAATTTCTTTTTTTTCAGTTGCTAATTCAAGGCCCATCCGATGGAGAGTCTCCGCAATTTGATTTAGACAATATTCAGCCTTATCCACAATTTGCTGTTTTGTGGATTCTTGGACCAGGACCGCAATGTCGTCTGCATACGCAATGATGGTAACTCCTTTTTCAGTTTTCATAGACACTATCTCTTCGTAAAATACATTCCAGAGCGTACCTCCAAGTACGGATCCCTGTGGCACACCACAGGTTATTCGCCTTTCTCCGCCTCCAGGTAAAATAATCAACCTTTTTGACAGATATGTCTTTATTAAGTTTGTAATGCCAACAGATACATTTGCTTTTCTTATTGCAGATATTATTTTGTACCAGGGAACCGAATTAAAGGCATTTTTTATGTCCAGGAGTATCATTACCGCGCATCCTCTATTTCCACATGAAATTCTTTTTCTTTCTTTCACCATTTGTACAACCGACATTATTGCATCCACTGTCCCCATTCGTTTTCTATAGCCATACTGTGTCTTGCTTATTACATTTTTCTCTTCTAATTCCTGAACTAGTCTGTTGTTGATTAATCGCTCCAACATTTTACCTATAACACTTAACAAACATATCGGTCTATACGATCTTTTGTGATCCAAACTCTTTTTTTGTTTATCGATAAGCACCAATACAGCTCTTCGCCATATTTCAGGAAAAATTCCGTCCTCTAAGCATCTGTTGTATACTAACAGAAAAATATTACAGTTAGCCTCTATACAAGTTTTAATAATTTCGTTCGTTACACCGTCTTCTCCGGGTGCTTTCTTTGTTTTTAGCTGCTTCACACAGACCATCATTTCTTCTTTTGTAAAAGGGTCTATCAAGTGCTCAAGTTTTTCCTCTTCCTCCTCTTCCTTCCTCTCTTCCTGTATCGGAAACAGTAACTTAAATTGCTCTTCTATTGTTTCTTGATCGATCTCCTCTCTTCTTCTTCCTCCTAATCTTTTTGTTACTATTTGGAATGCGGTACCCCAGATATCTTGTTCCAATTCTTCACACAGCATCTTCCATTTTTTTTCTTTACTTTTTTTATTAATAACGTAAGTTCTTTCCTTTTGTTCTTGTAATCTTCTGTACTCTTCCTTATTACTTCTTCGGGTGCTTTTCTTTTCTTATTTCTTTGCAAAATTCTTCGTTTTTTTATATTTTCCTTTCTAACTTCGGCGATTTCATTCGTCCACCAGTATTTAGGTTCCCGGTTGTGATTGTGGTATTTTCTTTTTAAACATTTTTCACATGCCTGTTGTATTTTTGCTGTAAGTTCAATTGGAGTGATATCCTGATAGTCCTTCGTAATTTCTTTAAAGTAACTTTTTAATTCCTGCATTCCTTTTTCTGTTAATTTCCATCCTACTATCTTACTTAATTGCTTCACTTTTTCGGATGTTCTTGTTATTTCGAAGGTAATCATGTTGTGATCGCTCAACACTTCTTCTTCTTCTTCTACATTCCATTTCTGGATTTTTGCAACAATTCCTTCACTTACTATTGTCAGATCAATCATTGAAGAGCCTCTAGAAAAACTATACGTTGGAGTTTTTCCGTTGTTCATAAGAATAAGTCTGTTTTTTAACATCCACTCTTCTATTATCTTTCCTCTTTTATTTGTTAGATTATCTCCTGCTATAACTGTCCTTGCGTTAAAATCTCCGCAAATTATTACTGCTTTTCCCTTTCTTCCAATCTCTTTTTCTATAGAGTCCAAAAGACATTTAAAATCGTCATCTGGGCGGTTAGGTGAAAAATACACCGAAAATATGACCCATTTCCTCCATTTCAACAACTATGTATCCGATTCCGATTCTCCAAGCTTTCGGTCTCCCCTCCTTCTGATCTATTTTGATAAAACAATCGTTTGATTTATCAGTTGTCATAGTTTCGGCTCTTCGCTTATTCGGCTCTTGTCCAACAATTATCGTAACTGCTCTTCGTCTTGCTATTTCCTCTATCATTTCTTGAACATCCGATCTTCTGTTACAATTTATTTGTATTATTCTAGTTATGCTGTCCAGTTTTGTTTTTAAGGTACTTGTTTTTTTCGGGAGTACCCTCATCACTTGTACTTGGTGTATATTTTTATTTCATCTTATTCTTTTTCTTATTTCTTCCTCCTTCCTGAGTCGTGAATGGTCCGCCTCTGTCAATTTTTTTCTCCGTGTCTCTATTCTCGGTTTCGCCCCCTTCTTTATCCTTGTCATCTATTAGTTGTTCCATTCTTTCTTCTTCTTCATTCGATTCTTTTACTCTCTTCATACCATTCTGTTCTCTTTCCCTGCTTCCATCTGCTTGCACATTTCTTTTCTCTTCTTCTACCTCACCTCTTTTTCCTTTATTTTTCAATTCCACTTTTACTTTCTTTAATTCTTTTCTATAAATTGGGCATCCCGTCGTACCACCTCTATGTCCTATTTCTTTGCAATCCGGGCAACTGGGGTTGTTTTTGCAATCCTTAGTTATATGCCCCTCTTCTCCACAATTATAACATTTGTTACTCTTATCCAGACCATCACATTCTTTTGCTAAGTGTAGGGGAGACCAACACTTCAGACACCTTAATATGCGGATTTTCTCCTCTATCCAACATCTAGCTAAGCCTATTCTTAATTTTCCTTTTCCTATCAATTTCTTTGCCTGGTTCTTCTGCATTCTCACTGTCACTGCCAGCATGCTCTGCGCATACGGTCTTATTTCGCTTGCCTCATACATAATCACGGGTTCCCCAAGTTTTTCTTCAATTGCTTTTTTTATTTCTCTTTTTTCGGTAGTAATTTCCATCCCTTTGATTAGCACAGTTGATATTTGTTCTTTTTCTTCTAGGCCTAAACTTCTCACTTTTTGGTTTTTATCTTCTTTAAGTATTTTCTGTATCTCTTCTGTTACTTGTTTATTTCTTTTTGTTGTAATAAGCACCGCACCGTCTCTCGCTTTTCTTATACCTTCAATTTGATCTACTTCTGGTCTCCCTTTTAGTTTCTCTTTAATTGATTTTACCACTTCTTCATATGTTTTTTCCTTATTTTCCACTACTACAGCGTACGTTTTTCTTTCTCCTCTTCCCAATTTTCCTTCCTCTTTTTTCTTATCCTCATCTATTTTTGCCGATGTCGTAAATATATTTACTACTGTCTGGGTTTTTCTATATATTGTTTCTACCATTTTTCTTAGAGTTGTTAGTTTTAAACTTCTTAGATGATGAATGGCTATCTGTTTTTCTTTGCTTGTCTCGTCCCTTAAGCTTATGAGATCTTTCCATAACTCGTTTTCTTCATTTCGTACTCTTAATTTTATTATTTTTTCATTTTTCTCAATTATACTTTCTCTTATCTTCGCCTTTGTTGTCATTTCTAGTACTTCGATGTTTTCCTGTAGTTGTTCCAGAAACGGAAAAGTTTTTTTATACTGGTTTTGTATACTTTTATTCATCTCTATATCATCTTCCTCTACCATCACAACCTTTATATTTATTTCATTTTGCAATAAAGGGTTACCTTCCGTTACCAGGGTCCTCTTATAACACTCCTCTGCCCAAGCTTCATCCTTTACTTTTTCCCAGTCCTCATAGCTTTCTACTTTATCTATATTCACCTTTAATTCTTCCACTCCGCTTCTTCGTCTCTCAATCTCTGTTTCTGTTTGTGTTGCCATTTCCTTTGTGTCTTTTCTTATTTCTTCTCGTTTCTTTTGATACTGATCACCTCCTCTATTTAGCCACTCCTTCACATCTTCCCTCTGGAGGCGCTGTGTCTCTCTCTCTAGTCTTTCTACTGCTTGCTTAATTTGTCTTTTTGTATTTTGTTCCACATTTTGTTTTAGTACGCTTGTTATCTTAAGTACCTTCTCTATTGCGTCTTGTACAGTGTATGCCTGTTTACTCGGTTCCTTGCTTTCTACCTGTTCTCTACATTCGATTTCGTCTATCACCCTCTTCCTCTTTTTAGCTTCTCTCATCAACTCTTCCTCTTCTACTTTCGATTCTTTCTTACTGCATGACGATGAGTCTAAAGACCAACTTCTTATTCTTTGAGGAGTTTGACTTTCCAAATCCTCAAATGCAAAAATGTTTGATATGACTTCTTTTGCTTGACTGACACATTTCTCGCTTCCAGTCGGTGTTACTTCTGCGCTTACAAAGGTTTCATCCAAATCACTTTCCGACGTATTTATATCCATAGTCTCTACAGTTCCTGGTTGAGTTGGAGATCTACTTATCTTTGAACTACGTTTAAACACAAACTCTTCCACACTTTTGTATTCCGTCGTATCCAATCTTTTTCTCATCTTGTCCTTTTCCCTATCCTGGTCGGTATCAGTGGTCTGTAAATCACCGAGGGGTCGACCATCCCCCTCAGCCGTTGCGCCGGCTAACATCACCGACGCAACTATCCGAGGCTCTTTATCTGATTTTTCCATTAACTCCATATTTCCAGCTGTCCATGCGCCTAGGTTACGCACCGTTTTTAGCCTTCCGGCAGGCATACACTCACAAAGTACTTCACTGCTACACCACATACATTAAACACTTAACACCTAATCCCGTACTCCCTGTACCCAGACAAGGGCATTTCGTGGGTTATTGTCGCCCGGGACCAAAGACCCCAGCTTTTTTAAGGAGGTATGCTCCTCCACCTGTAAACCCAGGCGGGTGCCCTTGTGGGGTGCTACCGGCCGGGCCAGCCAGACCCCAGTTTTTTAACGAGGTATGCTCCTCGAGCTCAGGCGGCCTCGGGTTCGCTAAGCCCGTACCCAGTGACTCCTCACTGGGCCCCTGCGCAGAGGAGGGGAAAATGCATTACGCACCCCGGCCTACTGTTGGCGCCTTTCCACGGTGGTCTGGATGGGTGAAATACTTTCGGCCGGGAGTGTGGGGCTACGACAGCCCCTCGCTACCCACTAAAAACCCCCACTCTTTCTTCGCCCTCTCCTGTGCGGAAACTGCCCCTTCGGGCTTTGACCATCACACAGGCGGCGGTATACAAAACAATAATTCTCATTCTTCTTGTTCCCCGTGGCCTCACTCGCACTCTGTCTCTCTGCTTCCAGGATAATGGATATTTCCAAGGGTGAACCATCCGTTGCAGCACGTCCATGCATTTAAACAAATAATTCCATCACTTTGAAATATAAATTTTTTATAGCATACCTGGGAGAGGGGGCTACGCCCCCTTCTTTTCTTCTTCATCCGTTGTCCTACTATTGGAATGCTGCTGTAGCCCCGATCACTCGGCTCCGTCCATGTAAGTAAACAAATAAATTCCTTAACTTTTTGAATTATTATATATTACTACTCGTACCTGGATGCGGGGCAGGACATGCCTACCCCGCCTCTTCTCCCATTTCCTTCTCCTCTCTTTCCTTCTCGCTTATCACCCTCTTCGCGAAATTTTCCACACCAGTCCAATTGTCACCGTTCTCCATCATCCTATCAACCATTTTCTCCGGATCAAATCTTCCGCCTACTCTCCTCCACATTTCTTCTCTTTCTTCTTTCCATCTTATACATCGAAATACGGTGTGCTCCACGTCATCGGCCTCTGTACAGTACAAACATACCGGAGAGGCAACCTTCTTAAATTTGTGTAGGTATTGTCTAAAGCATCCGTGGCCAGTTAATATTTGAGTCAGGTGATAGCTCACCTCCCCGCATCGTCTATTCACCCAAGGTCTCACATCTCTTATCAATCTTCTGGTCCACGTCGCCTTTTCTGTCTCCCCACGCCATCTCTCCTGCCATCTGTTCAGCGCCTCCCGCTCCAGCTCGCACTTCTCTTCCGCTCTCTCGAACGCCTCCGCTCTTCTCCACACCATTATTTCAACAGGTGGTACTCCACCCACTACCTGCAATGCCACTGTGGACACCGTCCTATATGCGCATGTAGTTTTTATGAGCAATTGTCGTTGGATTCGTGTTAGTGTTATCACCAGCTTCTTTATTACACATGCGTCTCTCCACGTTCTGCATCCATATAGGATTTGGGCGTATACAGTATACAGTACTCAGAAGTCCACCAGTATACACTCCCGTTTTTTATTCTTCTTTTCTTCTTCCGCCCATACACCTTATTACATGCTCTTTCGGTTATTTCTTTCAGTTTTTCCACACTTAGTGTTATTACTTTCTGCGCTCGTGTCTTGACCTCTTCCATATATTCTTCGGTCCTGTCGGCGTCTCTTCTCCATCCCCCCCCCTACTGTGGTTTTATTCTGAGAATGGTTTACACTTCGCTGGAGAATTATTTCTATATTTAGGTGGTCGCTCAGGTTCTCCTCCTCCATCACTCTCCAAGCCTTCACATCTGCCACCATATGCTCATTACACATAGTTACATCTATGTGCGATTCCTGGATTCCTCTTCTCCATGTTGGTAATCCACCTCGATTAAGCACGATCAAACCTCTTTCAGCAGCCCATTCGCATAGGAGTCTTCCTCTTCTATCCTCTTTTGTTGCCTGCCATGTAGGCGACTTGGCGTTAAAATCTCCACCAATTATAACTTTTCCCTTCTCTCTTCCCAGAATATCTCTCACATTTTCTAATCTTTCCTCAAAGGCTTCCATGTTTTCATTTGGTGGCATATAGCATCCAATCACGGTGTACTCTTCAAATCTGACTGCCAAATACCCCTTCCCTCTTTTACATCCCTTTATCGTCATTCCTCTATTAAACAACTTTATAGCAACGTCACTCTCACAATCTGTAAACCAGTCCGCACCGTTAACCTTCTTTTTGTTTGGCTCTGATACTATAACAACATCCACCTTTTCTCTATGACACTTTCCCTCTGCCAAATTCATTGCTTCCAGGCATCTGTTCAAATTTGTCTGAAGTATTTTTATTTTTATTTCCCTTTTCCCCCCCCTGTCATTATTTCTTGTAACTATGCTATCCATTTCGATTTCGAAGTTTTATTAACTTCATTTCTTCCTCTGTTCCCCTGTTCTTCTCTCTTTCTCATTTCTCTCGTTTCTCTTTCCTTGTTTTCTCCTATCTCTTCCTCTACATCTTCCTGATTTCCTTTCTTATTTTGCTTCCCCCTTTCCTCTGTTTTCTCATCTTTCGTCTCTTCCTCCCCGCTTTCCTTTTCCTGGCGGTTTCTCTTTTCTCGTTTTCCGTCTTTAATCTGCGCCCTGTACATCTCACACCTCATACTAGCTGCTCTGTGCCCTTTCTTTTCGCAGTCTGGACATCTAGTTTGGTTCGTGCATTCTTTTGTCAGATGTCCTTCTACTCCGCAGTTATAGCAGCAATTTCTTCTATCTGGTCCTGTACAGTCTTTAATCAGATGTTGAGGTGACCAGCATTTCAAGCACTTTTTAATATTGACTCTCTCTTCTACGGAGCACATCGCTAGTCCTATTCTAATTCTCTTGCTGTTCATTAATTTCTTTGCCTTCTCTTCCGCCAATTCTATTGTAACTGCCATCATGCTCTCTGCATATGGTCTTAATGAGCTCATCTTTATCTCATTTTTCTCGCAACCCGTGTCTCTATTTATCGCCTGTATTATTTCATTTTCCTCTGTTGTTATCATTAGTCCTCGTATATGAATAGTCTTGGTCTGTTTTCTTTCTTCTATTCCTCTATCTGTCACCTTCTGTCCATCCTCCTCTCTCAACAGTTTCTATATTTCCATCACGGCCTCTTTATCTTTTTGGGTCGTAATTAAGACCTTTCCGTCTTTTGTGCTCCTTATCCCCTCTATTTTGTCTACCTCCACTCTCCCTTGTAACCGTTGCTTTATTCCCTTTACAGTTTCTTCATATGTCTTCCCTGGTCTTTCGACTATGATTGCATGGTCTTCTTTCATATCGCATTTCTCTATTTTTTTCTTCCTCTATTTTTGTCTGTGTTGTGTATACTTCTATTTGTGTGTCTGTATCTCTAAAGACTATCTCTATCATTTTTCTGTACTTGTTTAGAGTCATTTGTCTTAGGTGATGTATCGCGACTTTATTTTCCCCTTTGTTTTGTTCTTTTAGTTCGTTCAGCATTTTTCACACTGAGATGTCCGATTTTTCAATGGTTAATTTAATAACCTTTTCCTTTCTTTCTCTTTCCACCCCCCTGATTTTAGTCTTTGTTATTAATTCTACTTCTTCATATGTTTCTTTTAACTCGGCTAGTATAGAATATGCCCTTTTATATTGATTTTGAAGACTGCGAGTCATGTCTTGATCATCGGGTTCCACAACAACCACTCTCGTAGTTATCTCTTGCTGCCATATTGGATTTCCTTCTACTACTTTGGTGCATTTATAGTGTTGATCTTTCCACTTCATAAATTCTACCTTCTTAAAGTCATCATAGGTTACTGCACTTTTTATTAGTTCGTCACTTTCTTCTTCTTCCCTTCTTTTGCGTTCTTCGTTTGTTTCGGTTGGGAACTCCGTCTGTGTTCCTATTTCCGTTCCCTTATGCTTTCTTTTTCCTTCTTCTATTCTCGAGTCTATGTTAGCTTTCATCCTGTCAAACTGTTTATGTAGTACCTCTATTTTTTCTTTTGTCTCTCTTTCTTCCCTTTCATACATCTTTCGAAAACTCTTTATCGCCCCTTGTAGCTCTTTAATACTGTTCTTTAGGGGTACCGCAGTATTTTGTTGTATTAAATTTACCATATCACCTATTCTCTTAACTAAATCATCTACTGTACTTTTTACGGTTTTTTTCCTTCCCCCCGATTTAAACATTTCAACAGCTTTTAGTTCTTTGTCTAAGGACAGCCTTCTTTCCGCCCTGTCTTCGCTGCACTCTCCTCTTTCAACAGGCATTCCTTTTTCCTTCTGTTCCTCTTTTTGAGTTTCATCTCTTGTTCTCTTCAATTCTCTCTCTAAACTATCTCTCTGCTTCCTCTTTCCATCTCTGCTTTCTTCTGTATCCCATCCTTCGGACAGAGATGCATCATCCTTACTCTGAAGATCTTTAGTCTCCGTTGTACAATCGCTAGTTCGTCGTACAGGTCTGTCAGTCGCCGGGGGGTCGACCTTACCCTCCTCCCGGTCCTGTTCCGAGGCTATTTCTACGTGTTCCACGATAACCATATTTCCAGATGTCAGGCGCCTAGGTTACGCCCCGTTTTTCACCTACCGGCAGGTATACACTCACAACACTGCACTGTTAGACTACACTCACATTGAAACACTAAACACTTATTCCCGTGTCCCCCGTGACTCCAGACAGGGGCTAATCATGGGGTACTGCCGTCCGGGATCACACGGCNGTCAGGCGCCTTCTTTACGCCCCATTTTAGACCTACTGGCAGGTATACACTTACCAACGAAACTTCACACACATAAACACTGAATCAACACTTAATCCCGTGCTCCCTGCAACCGGGCAGGGGCATTACATGGAGTATTGTCGCCCGGGACCACGCGACCCCAGCTTTTTTAAGGAGGTGTGCTCCTCCGCCTGTAAACCCAGGCGGGTGCCCTTGTGGGGTGCTACCATCCGGGCCAGATGGACCCCAGTTTTTTAAGGAGGTATGCTCCTCCAGGTCGGGCACCGCGGGTTCGCAAAACCCGTACCTGGGATCATCCCAGGCCCCTGCGGGGAACCCAACCCAACCCTTTTTTTTTTTTTTTGGCGCAGGGGAGGGGAAAATGCGTTACGCACCCCGGCCTACTGGTGGCGCCTTAGATCTTGTGATGGAGTCTTCTGTCCTTCGGCCGGGAGTGTGGGACTATACTAGGTACTACCCACTAAACCCCCCCCCCCTTCTCCTTCTCCGGGACCGCCAATCTGGCATTTCTTCGGAGTTACTCTTACTTCTGTTCTTCATTCTTTAATTCTTTCTTCCCCTCTTCATTTCTTCTTCACCGTCATGCCGTTATCTCTCCAGACAAAATATAGAATTACTTTTTGTAAAATAAAGCTTACCTAGCATACCCGGCTGGGAGGGGCGAGGTTTCTGCCCCTCCAAATTTCCTGTCCTCCTTGGGTCTCCTTCTTCTCCCGCCGTCGTCGCTTGTCACTCGGATTTGTCTCCACAAAACACGGGCATGCAGCATGGACCGAAACAAATAATAAATTACTTTTTGGAAAAAACTATTTCGTACAGAACCTACCCGGCTAGGAGGGGCGGGTTGTTGCCCCTCCAGTTCTTCCTTCATCGCCGTTCCCTTGTACCTGTTGCTCTCTCTCTAATTCTCGCTCATGCTTTTCCTTCTCCTTCATCACTTCTCTAATCATTTCCGCAATAACGGCCCATTTTTCCTCCGTCTCCAACATCTGTCCTATTATATTTTCTGTTTTTAGCGTTGTACCGCATCTCTCTTCGCATTTTGTTCTGTGGCCGTTAAATTTCCTGCACTCAAAAACTGTGTGCTCAGCGTTATCTCTTTCTGTACAGAACCAGCAGACTTCGGTTTCCGATTTTTTAATCTTGTGCAGATATGCTCTAAATATCCCGTGTGCCGTCAGAAACTGCGTTAGGAAATGATCGGGTTCCCCCCATTGCCTGCTCAGCCATTTCGAAATATCAGGGACAGCTTTTTTGTCCAACCTGTCTTGCTGTTCCACCTGTCCTGCCAAGATCGCATTAGGCTTTCTCTGTTTGCCAGTTTGCTGTCTTTACCATTTCTGTACGTTTCGCTTCTCTCTCTAATTTGGAGATCAATAGGTGGTAGACCTGCAATCACTTCCACTTCTTCTGTTGGTGCTGTCCGATAAGCAGATATTATGCCGATAGCCAATTTTCTATTTACGCTTGTTAACATATTTTTATATTTTTTTATACTTCAGCACCTTCTCCCACGTGGGCGCCGCGTACAGAATTACAGATGTTGCCGCCGTGGCGATTGTTCGTCTCTTACTCGCTACTGCGCCTCCTATATTTGGCATTAGGCGCATAAGTCTATTTGTCATCAGTGCTGCCTTTTTCGTTATCTCTACCACGTGTTTCGTCATCTTAGTGTCTTTGTCCAGCACTACTCCAAGGTACTTTACTTCCCTTGAACTTCTTATCGTTGTTTCTTTATCTAGTTCGATACTTAAGTTTTCCACTTTGCGGCGCCCCTAAAGGAGTACCATTTCTGTTTTTTGCTTTGCTACCTGTAGTCCCATCTTCTCTAATCTTCTAATAATTGCTTGTAGCGCGTATGTCGTTTTATCCTCCAAGTATACTCCGTCTCTTGCTCGAACCACCACCGCCAAATCGTCGGCGTAAGCTATCAGCGTCACTCCGTCCTCTACCCTCATACGTAGTACTTTATCATAAAATAGATTCCACAGAAGAGGACCCAGAAGGGACCCCTGCGGAACTCCACACGTGACCTTGTATTTCTTTCCGTTTGGCGCCGTTATGCTTCTATTCGACAGGTAGCTCTTTACGATTCTGACCAGATACTGACTGACTCCTCCCTTCTCTATGGCTTTTATTACCCCGCTCCATGGGGCGGAATTAAAAGCATTCTTGATGTCAATTAACACCATTGCGCATACTGCTCTGTGTGTTAGAGACTTCTTCTTAATATTTTCCACAATTTCCTGTACCTTCACTATGGCATCCATCGTGGATCTGCCTTTTCTATAACCAAACTGCATATCGTGTATGAGTTTCTTTTCCTCCGCTTCCTCTTGCAGTCTCCGTCTTATCAAGCCTTCCAACAGCTTACCGGCCGTATCAATCAGACAAATGGGGCGATACGTTGCGTTAGTGTTGTTATTCTTCTTTGGTTTCTCTATGAGAGTCAGTCTAGCTCTTTTCCAGATAGTGGGGAAACATCCTTCCGCCAAGCAGTTGTTGTATACTGTTAGTATTTCTTCAGGAAACTTTTCTGTAAAGATCTTTAATATTTCCGGTGCAATCCCATCTAGACCAGGAGTTTTCTTCTTCTTGATTTTACCTGTCTCAAACTCTAGCTCTTCTCTTGTAAATAGTGGAATTTTCTCCTCTGGGTCTACCGCAGTCTCATCAGGCCTGACCTCGTCTACCTTCGGGAATAGGATGTTAATTTGTTCTTCAACTATTTCGTTGTCCATTTTCAGGTTTTTTCTCATTTTCAGCTTCTTTGCAATGATTTGGTAAGCCTTTCCCCAGACGTCGTCGTTAAGCTCTTCACATAGTTCTTTCCATTTCTCTCTTTTGCTTTCTTCTATCAGTTTCCTCAACTCTCGCTTGGCCTCCTTATGTTTTTCCTTTATGGAGGAGCCACCTCTTTTTCTTTCTTTCTACACCTCATTAGCCTTGTCTTCTGCCTTCGTAACCTCACACAGTCTTTTCTTTTCTTCGCAATATCGTCATTCCACCAGTACACAGGTCTTCGTCCGTGCGTCCCTTTCTTCCCCTTAACCAAAAATTTACTACAGCACCGCTCTATATTCTTTATTAAGTTATCTGCTGTCCTTTCTTCTCCTTCCTCAAAAAGAAAACCATCGTCCTTTTTCAGGCGGTGTAGCGCGATTTCGTTTCCTTCCCATCTTTCGTGCTTTTCCTTTAGGGGGCTATTACTGTCTGTTCTTATTTTAAAGATAATACAGCGATGGTCGCTTAGATATTCTTGGTCTTCTTCTACCCGCCATTCTACTACCTTTTGGCATATCTTTTCAGACACCGCTGTGATGTCTATCACCGACTCCCCCTGCGGCCCCGAAAAAGTTGGAACACTACCTTCGTTTATGCTAATTAAGTCATTTGCGGTCAAGAAATCTTCCAGAATTCTGCCCCTTTTATCTGTTTGTTTTGAGCCCCATTGGGTAGATTTGGCATTAAAATCTCCCCCGACTATCACTCCCCTATTACTCTGTCGCACGTGCATCTGCATGTCACTCAAAAACTTCTCGAATTCTTCCAGACTTTTATTCAGGGAAAAGTAACAAGAAAACACTCGCGCTGAGTCCACATCCACATACACAAAACCATCACCAGCAAAAGCGCCTATCACAGATCCGTTTTCTATACTAATAAAACTATCACAGTTTCTATCACAGTATCTTATATCAACTTTTTTATATTGTTCACAGCCAATTATCACGTCGATTTTATTTTCTATCACAGTCTTCATCAACATATCATGCGCACTTCTGACTCTATTATGATTCAGCTGAGCTACTCTAAGTATTTTTTCCTCAATCCCCATTTTTTAAGTACAAACTCCTGGGTGACTTCTCGGGTGAGCTTGTGTCAGTGGGAGTATCTTTATCCCCACTGCCATTTCCCTTCCTTTCCTTCTTTTTCTCTTTATTTCTCTTTCTTTCCACCTTCGTAAAACCTTTACTTACTTCGGTTGATTTCTTTATCTCTTCTTCTCTATCTTTTTCCCTCTCTTCCGTTACCTCAACCGTCTTTACTAAGCTTTCTTTCCTCTTCCTTGTGTTGCTTACGTCCCCTTCGTCTTCAACTCTCTGGTTTTCCCTCTTCTCCACATTCTTCTCTCTTCTATCTTTTTTCACCCTCTCTCTATATATTGGACATGTGCTCGTGCTAGCTCTATGTCCCACTTCTCCACAGTCTGGGCAGTTTGTCGGGTTTTTACAATTCCTCATTTGATGGTCCTGTCCACCGCAGTTATAGCACCAGTTCCTTCTGTCTTCCTCCTGGCAATCTTTTATTAGGTGCGATGGTGACCAGCATCTCGAGCATTTTTTTATCTTCTTTCTTTCTTCTATCTGGCACATGGTAAGCCCGACTCTCAGTTTCTTTTCTCTTATAAGTAGATCTGTTAATTCTCTTTCCATTTCAATTGTTATTGCCTTCATATAACTTGCGTAGGGTCTGATCTGACTCATTTTAAAATCTGAATTTGCTCCCACCTTGTTTCTAATCGCTTCCTCCACGTCGCCTATCTCTACCGCAGAGGTCATTCCTTTTACATTTAGCGTTACCCTTTCCTTTCCTTTCACTCCCGATCTCATTATTTTCTGTCCGGACTTCTCTTCTAATAGTTTTTGTATATCCCCTATTCCCTCATCATTCTTTTTCGTTATTATCAATACCCGGCCGTCCCTTGTTTGCCTTATTTCCTCTATTAGGTCTACCTCTCTTCTACCTTTCAAGTGAGGCTTTATTGTATTCAACACTTGTTCGTAAGTTTTTCCTTGGTTTTCTACTATTAAGGCGTACGTTTCCCTTTTATCTTTTCCCTTATCATTTCTCTTCAGTTTTTCTTCCTCCAATCTCCTAGCCGTTGTATAGATATCGACTTTAGTGGTAGTTGTCCTGAAAATTGTTTCAGTCATGGTTCTTAAATGGTATAAAGTCATGTTTTTAACATGATGTATCGCTACTCTTTCTTCGCCCTCTACTTTCCCTCTTATCTTATTAAGGCTATTCCACATCTCCCTTTCTGTCTTGCCTATTCTGACCTTGAATATCTTTTCAACATGCTTTCTTTCTACCCCTCTTACTTTCGTTGTGTTCGTCATCTCGACCTCTTCGCAATCATCCAGCAGTTCCTCTAGTATGGGGTACGCCCTCTTATATTGTTGCTGTATACTTTTCTCCATCTCTTCATCATCCGGTTCAATTAACACAACTTTTGTTTCTGTTTTTGCCTGCCAGACAGGATTTCCTACTACCATATAGGCATTTCTGAAGTCTTCCTCTTCCCAATCGAATTCAGCCACCTCTGCCCACTCTTCGAAAGATACTGCATTTTGTTTCTTCTTCCTCATCTGAGCCTCTTCAGCTTCTTTCCGTTCTGTGTCCATCTGTGTTTCATCGGTCTGTGTTTCCTTTGTCTTTGTCTCACTTTTCTTTCCTTCCTCCACTCTCGATTCTATGTCGCTTTGTATTCTATCAAGTTGTTTATGTAGGGCTTCCATTTTTCCCTCCCTCTCTCTTTCCTCCTTCTCGAAATTTTTCTGTAAGCCCTTTATACCGCCTTGTATCTCCCTTATGCTATTTTTCATGGGCACTGCCGTATTTTGCTGTATCAGCCCCACCATTACCTCTATCTTTCTCACGAGATCGTCTATCATACTTTTAACTGTTTTTTTCTTTCCCCCACTTTTGAGTCTTTCAGCCGCTGCCAGCTCTTTATCCAGCGATAGCCTTCTTTCTGCTCCGAATCCTCTGCTCTCTTTTTCTCTTTGACTTTCCTCGTTAGATCTTTTCAAGTCTCTTTCCAGGCTGTCTCGTTGCTTTCTCTTTCCCTCTCGGCTTTCTTCGTCTTCCTGTCTAGTCGCTCTTCCTTCTATTCTTTGTGGATCTAGCGATCTAGCCCTTTCTCTTAGGGGCGGAGATCTATCGGAATCAGTTTTCTGCTCTGAGCAATCTTCGACTAGGATCGGATTTTTAGAATCATGTTCCGTGTTTCGTTGCGCAGGTTGTTGTACGAGTCTATCTGTCGCCGGGGGGTCGACCTTACCCTCCTCCCGGTCCTGTTCCGAGGCTATCATATTTTTTTCCATAACCCATAGTTGCAGATGTCAAGCGCCTAGCTTACGCTCCGTTTTTAACCTACCGGCAGGTATACACTCACGCACGACTTCACTGTACACTGAACACTTATTCCCGTGTCCCCCGTGACTCCGGACAGGGGCATATCATGGGGTACTGCCGTCCGGGATCACACGGCCCCCAACTTTTTTAGGGAGGTATGCTCCTCTTTGGCTTTTGGTCCGCGCCGGGTATTTTATTTCCCCGGTACCCCCCGCGCACGCTAAGTGCAATGCATGCGCAGTGAGCTTTCCAGGAATTCCATTCCGGGAATAGTCACTATTGTTGGATAAAAAGTCTGTCTCGATTACTATCATCGCAAGCATCGCAGAATGGNTATTCCCGTGTCCCCCGTGACTCCAGACAGGGGCTAATCATGGGGTACTGCCGTCCGGGATCACACGGCCCCCAGCTTTTTTAAGGAGGTATGCTCCTCCTTGGCTTTTGGTCCGCGCCGGGTATTTTATTTCCCCGGTACCCCCTGCGCACGCTATGTGCAATGCATGCGCAGTGAGCTTTCCCCTATCCGCCACCTGGGGACGCGTCCGATTGGGGGAGCCACCCCCATCCCCCGGGCTAAGCCCGGGGGCGGAAACCCAACCCAACCCAACCCAACCCAACCCAACCCTCTAATTTAATTTAGATTATCGATTTTTTGAAAGACGGTCTTTCTAATCGATTGACTTTAACGGCCCTATTAACAACTTGTTAGTATTATAACATATATTTACGGGTGATATACCCGAATACGGATAAACATCTTTATTTACCATCTACCTGCTCGTGAGGATTAGATATGAAGAAGGGTGTCACATTTTGTGACGGCACGAAGGTTACTTACGACGCACAGAAGCGAATTAGTTAAATATCTTGGCCAAAAAGATACTTTTGTCAATTTTTTACTTCAAAATTGGTGAAAATTAACAAATACCTATACAATTAACAAGGATGAAGTATTTTATGATATACTGCGATTTTATTTAATTGTATCTACCTATATTTTTATAATAATAAGCATTTTATTTCTTCGCTTCTTCGCGTCATTGGATAGAGTTTGTTTTTCTGAATCCATTGATGTACAATACATACATTTTAAGTGTAATATTAGCAGAGAAAAAACACCTGTATATGCAGGTTGTCACAGAAGAATGCCGCAAGCTGTAACTCTGTCATTTACATTCCGATTTTCATGAGCGAGGTATCAAACGAAAAGGTTTCATGAATACTATGATTCACGCTACAAATAAACTTTTTCCAACGCCATCTTCAATTTCAAGCGATTATTATCTTTTGATTCTCAAATTGCTCGGTATGTTTTTCTTCGGATGGCACTGCCTGCCTTAAAAAACTCCTTTAAAGTAGATATATCCTTTTCATCGTTAAAATTTTTGCAACTCACACAACTTGAAACAGTTTCTGAGACATTTTTACATAAATTTGGTATACCTACCAATCTTCTCTAAAGTTCTCCGTTTCCAAGGTAATCACTAGGGCCCGGAACTTTTGTAACGGTACGATACGATTTACCCCCTCCACTTGTTCTCCTAGAAAATGATCGGTTGTTATTGACGACCGACGATCGGTTTTTTATTGCGCATCAATGTCAACATTGTCAACTGTCAGTACGATTTCACTGTTGTCCAAATGTGCAGTATTCGACGCTTTTCATCCGCATAATTTCGTCAAATTTGCTATTTATCTTTCTTTAGTTACCTTTAATTGGAAGTTGGAGTTCTGTTTGAGTTCGTATTATTGTTTTTTTTAAGAATTGTTTTTAGTTTCCCTTTGTGGTAAAATTGTTGTTCGGATTTGAGAATTGTTCAACAAATTGCCGAAAACAATATACCTTTAACTCTTAAGGAAAAATATGGTTCAATAGCTCAGTATTTTATTTATGCTCTATTTACAAGTTGTGATGTTGAAAGATTATTTTCTAGGTACAAACTCATTTTAACGTCAACTAGAACGTCATTTACAGAAGAAAATTTAGGGATGGTTGTTTCAATATGCGTTAACAGCAATTTTTTTATATCCGTATCCGATTTGTGATTGATATTACAAATCGGATCATGTTTTTTTGAATTAAAGTTATAAAATATATTTTTTTTTAATATTTTCAAATCGTACTGACAGTTGACACTGACGTGTAATAAACCGATTGTCGGTCGTCAACAACAACCGATGAGGTGAGTTGACTTGACGCCACCGACTTGTTTTCTAGGAGAACAAGTGGTGGGGGTAAATCGTATCGTTCCGTTACAAAAGTTCCGTGCCCTAGT